AAGCAACTGCCATGTGATTGGTTGATTAGATAATTGCATTAATGAGAAATTGAACAGGTGTTCCTAATAATCCTTTAGGTGAGTGTATATATCTATATACCAAAATTATATATATGGCAAAAGGATGCACTATTTTTGTACACACACACACACACACAGTACATATGATAACAATGGTGGCTAGTATAATATTAGTATTGATATTAATAATAATGTAGGAACCAGCCAATAGTCATACTCAAATGGAGAATATGTCTGCAAATGTCTGGTGGAATCTATTCATTTATCTATCAAGCAAACTGCCAGAACAGATGGTATAAATATGTCAGCTTGCCAGGAATCACTGCATGTGTTTGGTTTTTGCATTTTCCCTACATCTACAAGCTCCTGACAATGACAGAATATAGTAGCAGGTGATGTTTATTGGATCCATTTTTTGAAGTATTTTTATAGGTGACACTAGGCTTGTTTCTGTTTTGTTTGTTTATTTGTGGTGCATTTGGCTGATCACTCGCATAAAATGTTATTTGTATGCTTGAATTGTTAAAATATATTATTCTATTTTAAGTATTTAGAATACAGTGTTCAGAAGATACTGTTACAGAATAAAATCATTTTAACATTAAGTAAAAAGCATACAAGCTTTCTCACACTGTCACTGCAAAAAATGGTAGTTACTCTTTTTGGACCTTGCATGTGTATTCTGAGGTTGTAGAGCAGGCAAGAAAAGATGAGTGGTAGACTGGGGAGATATTCTGTGGCCACTGGGGAAAGCAGTGAGAAATGAATTAGAGAATAAGAGACCAAACAAAAACTTGGAAGGAAATCAGGTAAGTCTGTTATGCAACTTGTGACCTGTGTGACCTTCTAGTCCTGGTTTAACAGCATAAGCTAGCCAGTGCAAAATCACAAAGAGGATGATGGGAATGATGCATGCTTATGCATCCCCACTTAGAGAGAGAACTAGAAAAATGCTGGAAATGTCTGAAAGTTATGCTTCTAAAATCACTATAATCTCAGAAAGTTAAACAGTTTTGAAAATAAATTATATAATCAGAAATTTCCCTATATGATTTTTTTTGTTAGATGCTATATTTGTATAAGTACTGTATTTCTTGGAGCATGTTGGCATGTTAGGCCATTAGAAACTGACTGAGTGACTTAACAAAGTTTATATGTAAATAACTCGGGGCAGAAATAGAAAGTAGGTGATGGCATCATTTTGCATTGTCCAACAAATGTATTGTTTTAGGATTTACAGTGAATCATATCATGGCCTTGTCCTACTAGCTTGTATGGCATATTTGCACCTCTGCCCCCCACCTCCCATGTGGCTTCATGCTTTTTACAGCATGAAATGCATCTGGGAAGCCCCTGTTGTACCAGGTATAGCTATATTCTTATAGTTCCTTACTGTCCAGCAGCATGGTGCATGCTCCCCTGTTAACCTCTGTGCTTAGATAGCAGCTTGCAGCAGCTTGTGTTGTTAACAGCAGAATGGCCTGCCAACATTCCCATCTTAGCTGGGGAACAATGATGGGGAAAGGGGGTGTACAGCTCCATGTAACAGCTGACATCCAATTCTTGCATGCACAGAGGAAGATACACGGGGGGGATGGGTGCACAGTGACATGGGGGAAGGGATCTCAGGTGCAAGGTCTCCATGGAGGAGAGAAACCATTAGGAGGATTTCAGAGAGCAGCAAAGGGAATGCATAGACCAACTGGACACAAATAATGACACAGGGATAGCTTTGTGAAATAACAAATGTCAAAGCTATGTCAAATAATGAAAAGGGGATAGGTATTTTAAATACTGATGATGAATAATGGTGATATCTATGTGAAAACATAACATGGGGATATCTATGTAAAATATCAACTGGAGGATATCTATTTGAAATTATGACATGAGAATTTCTGTTGAATTACAACATGGGTGTATATAATTGAAATAAGAACATGGGGATATCTATTTGAAATAACAACACAAGGATATCTGTTTGAAATTACGACACAGGGATAACTATTTGATTGTCACTGGTATATGAATGTCATTGACACAAGCATATCTTTGGTTACAATGGCTTTTTAATAATTGTGATTTGTTATATTTCACTCCCAGCATGGATCATTCCACTGATTATATAGCCTTGAAGATGAATTCATTCAATCTGGGGGTGGAATAGAACAAATACCTGAAATGGCTGTGTTTAAACAGA